TATATTTTATGTTTTATATTTTCTAATATGTTAAACTCTTCCACACTAAAATTAGCAGAAAATGGCCACAATTAAGTTTATTCCATGTAGAGGATGTGTTAACGTATTTCCACATAGAAAATCAACAAAATATGTAATTTGACAGGGGTGCACAAACTTTTGCACACCTCTGTGTTAAAAAACGTAGCCTGTCTTCCTGTTCACCTCAAAATCAAATACAGGTGTGCTCCCTGTACTATATTAGCTTGTGGTTAGCATGTTAGCTTGGGAAAAACATATTAGCTCATGGCTAGCTCATTAGCACAGGTGTTATTAACTTGTGGCCAGCACATTCGTTTGTAGCTAATGTATTAGCTTGTGGCTAACATGTTAGCTTGTGACTAATATTATGGCTGATGTATTTGTGGTTAACACATTAGTTCACGGCGTGTTAGCTTGTGACTAGCGCATCTTGGCTGCAACACAGACAGTAACTGATTGAAACAGTGTAGATTTGATGTTGGGCAACACCAGCAGTGAACGTGGAGCTCTGATGTTGGATTTGCATTGATCTTGTTTGTTGTGTTGGCCATTGATTGGCCTGTTATGCTGTTGTGTTGACTCAAGGTTGAAAGCATTTTATTTTCAATTCAGTATTTACAATTATACAGCAGGTAGTTCCGGCCGTGCGAGCTGATTGGTTGAGTGGCGTTCTAACTGTGCTGTTATTTCACCATAACATCACGTTTTTTTCACAAACACTGTATCACTCCGCTGAGACGCCGTTGCTAAGCAACGACTTTGACAGCTGTAGGAGACGCTCAGGACATTTGAACGTTTTTACTTCTTACTTTGCCACAAACAGAAAATGGACACTTTTAAGATCACATTTGACCGACAGCCGATTTGGTCAGACTCTGAAGATGAGACGACACTAAATTCCCAAACTGTCATCACAACTGAGCAGCTTTTCAGTCGGCAGCTGAGACAGAAGAACAGCTGAACAACCTGGAATCAGCCAGAAATGAACCCAACACCGTTCGCCAAACTAAACGGGCTGTAAGATGCTTTACAGACTGGCTGGAACAAAACAACATTAATACTGATCTGGCAAAAACTGACAAAACTGAGCTGAACTTGATATTGCGGCAGTTTTATGGCTCAGTCTGTACTTCAAAAGGCTTAAATATAACACACTTAAGCACATTTAGCAGACACTCTAATGCAGAGCAACTCACAGTGGTAGGTGAGTGCAGTCCTTTATACCTCTTTAAAGTAGCAATGGTTGAGGTCAGGGCTCTGTGAGGCCACTGGAGTTCCTGCACCCCAAACTGGTCAAACCATGTCTTCATGGAGCTGCTTTGTGCACAGGGGCTCAGTCATGCTGGAGCGAGTGTAAAATGTCTTTGTATGTTGTAGCATAAAGCTACGTTCACATGTGTGTGTGGTAGATGAATGATGGCAAACCGGATGTTCCATTGTTTTCAATGGAGCTGTAACACTAAAGTCGGCCACTGGCAGTGGCAGCTGTCCGCAGACCGCAGTGGTGAGCGGAATGCTTCATGAAGACTTTAATTTTCTAAAGTTTTGCCCTCGACTGCAGCGGTGAAATAAACCGGATATTGATTTTTTTGGGAGCCATGGACACCAAACATCTTGTTGTTGAATTCCAGATGAACCCAGTATTACACGACTCTAAATGAAAGAGTGCAGAGCTCCTCCTGCCTTTATGCACCTCAAATAAACAGTCTACACTGTTAAAGCACCCCTTGATAATTATCCATTTTTGCCAGGACCTGGTCACCATGGCAACATTTGCACAGCTTTAAGCCACCGTCGGCCGCGAAGCGCTATGAGGTGTGGAATAACGTTTTTTTCAACGCAGTCATGCGAATGCAGCAAAACATCACCCGTCACTGGAACTGAGAGCCCAAACCCTGAAAAACAGCCCAGCCCATCATCCCTCCTCCACCAAACTCTACTGTTGGCTCTGCATTCCGGTGGGTAACGTTCTCCTGACCTCCACCAAACCCAGATTCATCATCAGACTGACAGATAGTGAAGTCAGTGGCGGCACTTTACACCACTCCAGCAGACACTTGGCATTGCACATACTGAGACCATGGAGACCCGTTTCATGAAGCTCCTAATACACAGTTCTTGTGCTGTTGTTGCTTCCAGAAGCAGTTCGGAACTCTGGAGTGAGTGATGCCGATATTTACATTTACATTTACAGCATTTAGCAGACGCTCTTATCCAGAGCGACAAAGTGCTTTGTCTATCTACAGAAAGTTACCAGTTACAAACAGGTTGGAGAGAAAGTCAGTCCTGAGCTCAGATACTGATAGAAACAAAAGTCCACGTTGATACCGAAAGAAAAAGGAGCCGAGTTAAACACAGCGCAGTGCATTACAATGAATACTTAACTCAGTGCTCACTTAAGTGCTGTATAAAGAGTCTTCAGTCTGCGTTTGAAGACCACAAGAGACTCTGCTGTTCAGACAGTCAGTGGGAGTTCGTTCCACCACCTGGACTCCAGGATAGAGAAGAGTCTTGATGCTCGTCTTCCACACATCTTGAAGGATGGCGGGTCGAGCCGAGGTGGCCTTGAAGCTTGAAGGGCTCGAGGTACAGTTGACCATTGCCATCAGGGGCTGGTCCATTTTTGGCCTTTTTTTTGGATTTTTACACGCTTCCGCACTCTGCGGTCCTGTTCTGTAAGTTTGCATGGTCTGCCACTTCGTGGCTGAGCTCTTGTTGCTCCATTTTACAGTAATAGCACTTCCAGTTATCTGGGGCGGATCCAGCAGAGGAGAAATTTCACAAACTGAATGGGCAAAGGGGGCACACTCTATCAGGCCACGTTTACAGTCACTCTAGGCTCTTCAGTACGACTCATTCTACTGCCAGTGTTTGTCTGCGGAGACTGCAAGGCTATGTGCTTGATTTTATACACCTGTTAGTAATGGCCATGTCTAATACACCTGAACTCAGTAATTAGGAAGGGTGTCCACATACTTTTGTCCATTTTGAGTATCTGTTATAGCATCTCAACTCAATACAGTTGTTATTTTTGTTATTTTTTGCAGTCCCAGTACCCAAAATGCACCAAATGCCCCTGAGGGCTGTCAAAAAATCCACTTTATGACTTTCTCAAACTGCACTTAACCTGAGCCGCGCTAATCACCGCTTAGACGGTTAAAAGGACGTGATGGTTTGTTCTCAGGGAGCGAATTCTGCTGGGAGTTTGCGGTGATTCAGTAAACTCTCTTACAGCCCAAACAAACAGGGCTAATTTAACACAGCTCAGAGCCTGGAAGGCGTCTCGGGTGGAGTTCCGCCTCATTTCTGCACAAACATCGTATTTATTGTCTAAAAGCACTTGGGGGAATTGAATTATTGACGACGGCTTTTCTCCATCCTTTTTCAGCGCACCCACATTATACAATTAATCCTGGAGTGTTTAATTAAAACGCCCCACGCTGAGTTCGCTCTCTCTCCTGACTCCGCTGTTACTCGTGAGTCTGTGGAGGGAGATCTGTGTGGAAAGAGCTGCTGATTGTTATTGATTTTGTTCTAATCAGATGTTCCAGATGCGAAGCTGCTGATGTTTCTTATGATAAACGTTTCTGGTGCTGCGTTCACAACAAAAAAAGATTTTTAAGGCAAATAGTGAGAAATGAAGACGTGCCTAAGTGCAGTTTTCAGGATTAAAAAAGTTCTAGATATTAAGTAGATCAGGCGTACAGAAATCTGATATATGGTCATATTTGCACGTATATCATAACGGGTCAGGCATATATTTCACGTTATATGTACATACATATGGTTCCTCAAGGGTTCTTTAGTAAAAAAAATGGTTCCATAGAACGAAGAATGATTTAAGCATACAAATGGTTCTTTGAGTATTCATGGTTCTATATAGAAGCATTTTCTTTACTAAAGAACCCTTGAAGAACAAACTTTTTAAGAGTGTATATTAAACTTTTTTGAAAAGGGTTCTATGTAGCACCAAAAAGCGTTCTTCTATTGTTACAATGTCAAACTTGTAACATTGGAAGAACCCTTTTTGGTGCTACATAGAACCCTTTTCAAAAAGCTTTTATATAGAACCTTGTACAGCTAATTCTCCATGGTTCCAAGGTTTCTTGAAGAAAATGGAAATTGTAAAGAAAATGTATCTGTATAGAACCATGAACACTCAAAGAACCATCTGCATGACTGAAGGGTTCTTTGCATTGTGAAAGGGTTCTTCAGATTCATGGAGAATGTGCTGAAGATGGTTCTCTATACAACCTTTTGTAAAAAAAAAGCTTTATAAATAGCACTGAAAATGGTTCCACTATTCTTACAAGCCAAAGAATGCTTTTTGCTACTATCTAGAACCCTTTTGTGCTAAGAGTGTAGGTTATTCATTTCCTCTCTTAACATTACAGGTTATACAGAGATGCAAATACAGCTGAATAAACTCCACAGCTGAAGAATAATAATGTGTCTTAACTTTCACTTAAGTCTGAAATTTAAGAGGATTTTATTTCCACATTTAAGTGGATTTTATTTTTTAGGATGTGTTCAGGAATCCAGTCCCACACTCAACGAGAGCAGCGCTTATCAGTGAGACTGAGCTAATAATCCTCTCTCTCTCTCTCTCTCTCTCTCTCTCTCTCTCTCTCTCTCTTTCTCTCTTTCTCTCTTTTTTCCCTCTCTCTGTCACTCTCTCTCTCTCTCTCCCCTCCCTCTCTTTTTCTTCCCTCTCTCTGTCTCTCTCTCTGTCTCTCTCTCTCTCTCTTTTTCTTCCCTCTCTGTCACTCTCTCTCTCTGTCTCCGTTTTCTCTTTACTCTCTTTACTCTCTTTACTCTATCTCTCTCTCTCTCTCTCTCTCTCTCTCTCTCTCTCTTTCTTCCCTCTCTGTCACTCTCTCTCTCTCTGTCTCTGTTTTCTCTTTACTCTCTTTACTCTCTCTCTCTCTGTCTCTGTTTTCTCTTTACTCTCTTTACTCTCTCTCTCTCCCCCTCTGTAGTAATTTCCAGCCGTCTGTGATGTTTGAAGGCTCTGACTGTGTGGAGGAGACAGAGGGAGTGAAGGCTGAGAGCAGTCTGGTCTCGTCCGTCTCCGCCTGTAAGAAGGTACACACCTGTGCTGTGTGTGTGAGTGTGTGTGAGTGTGTGTGTGTGTGTGTGTGTGAGTGTGTGTGTGTGTGTGTGTGTGTGTATGTGTGTGTGTTTCAGTGATTCATGCTAATCAGATTAGCCACATCGCTGCTCAGGTCGTATATCTCAGCATCAGCTGCTGTTTGTCTTCCGTTTCTTTCATTCTGGTCAGTGTTCAGGATCGTTTAGCAGCTCTGTGTTCATATCCTCTATAAACACTCACTGACTGATGGACAGTGACCACATTCACAGGCACATCGGCACGTTATGGTTTAGGTCGGGTTCTGTGAGTTTTACTTTATAATGTTTTTTTTTTGTTTTTTTGTTTTTTTACAACCTTGTTTCCAAAAAAGTTGGGACGCTGTGCAGAATGTAAATAAAAACAAAATGCAAAGATGTGCAAATAACTTAAACTCTATAAATTATACCTATAAAGGCAACATATTAAATGTTAAACTAAGAAATTTTATTACTTTTTGAGAAAAATATATTCCCATTTTGAATTTGATGTCAGCAACAAGTTTCAAACAAAGGTGGGACGGGGGCAACAAAACACTGGTAAAGTTGTGTAATATTAAAAAAATCACCTGGTGGAGAAATCTCTGTATGTAAGGGACAAAGCTGAAAACCAACACTGGCTGGCTGTGATCTTTGGGCCCTCAGACAGCACTGCATTAAAAACAGACATGATTCTGTAGTGGAAATCACTGCATGGGCTCAGAAACACTTCTGAAAACCACTGTCTGTGAAAACAGTTCATCACTGCATCCACAAATGACAGTTAAAACTCTAAAACACAAAGAAAAAAAACATTTATAAACAGAATCCAGAAACACCGCTGCCTTCTCTGGGCCCGAGTTCATTTAAGATGGACTTTTTTGGAAATCGTGGATGTCATGTCCTGCGGGCTAAAGAGGAGAGGGACCATCCGTCTTGTTATCAGCGCACAGTTCAAAGCCAGCCTCTGTGATGCTGTGGGGGGGGGCATTATTGCACATGGCATGGGTGACGTGCACATCTGTGAAGGCACCATTAATGCTGAACGATATATACATGTTTTGGCAACATATGCTGCCATCCAGACGACGTCTTTTTCAGGGAGAGCCTTGATTATTTCAGCAAGACAATGTAAAACCACATTCTGCATGTATTACAGCAGCATGGCTCCGTATTAAAAGAGTCCGGGTGCTGAACTGACCTGCCTGCAGTCCAGACCTGTCACCCCTGAGAACATTTAGCGAGTTATGAAGCAAAAATTACAACACAGGAGACCCTCAACTGATGATCAGCTGAAATCCTGTATCAAACAAGAACAGGAAAACATTTCACTTTCAGAACTACAGCAGCGTCTCCTCAGTTCCCAAACACTTACAGTGTAGTTAAAAGAGGTGATGCAGCACAGTGGTAAACACAACCCTGTCCCAACTTCTTTGGAATGTGTCGCTGGCATGAAATTAAAATGTGCATATATATTTAAAAAAGGATAATTAGTTTAACATTTGAAATGATGTGTTTGTACTATTTTCAATTAAATACAGAGTTTAAATGATTTGTACATAATTTCATTCTGTTTTTATTTAAAATTTTGCACAGCGTCCCAACTTTTTTGGAAGCGGGGTTGTGGTATTACTACAGTTTTACTACAAAGCACTGTTGGGAAGAACAAAAGGGTAAAAATGCTGTGTTTCCTATTTTACAGGAGCAGATTATGATTGTAAAATGGAAACCCCACAACTCATTTTTTATTTGGAGCACTCATAATAATCAATCACAGTTACCTGGCGTACTGATCATGTACTGTAATTCAGAAATCAGCAGGTACATTAGGCTGTATTATGCCTAAATGTTGCTAATTATGACGAGTTGTTGTTAATCAACTGCAGGCTTATTTAGAGAGCAGCAGTCTTTCCAGTCCGGTTTCCGTTAGAACCTCAGTACTGAAACTGCCTTGGTTAAGGTCACCAGTGACCTTAGTATGACATCTGGAGGTGCTGGAGCCCTAATCATTCTTATTTTACACGATTTTAGCACAGACTTACACACAGTGTGCCATTTGACTCTCGTGTCAAGGCTTCCTGAGCTGGGTGTCATTGCCTCTGCGCTGGACTGGTTCACTTCTTATCTCACTGATAGAAAACTGTTCATTTCTCTCTCTGGCTTTACTTCCTCAACTTCTTGTCACTCAAGGGGTCCCTCAGGGTTCAGTCCTCGGCCCTCTCTTCATCGCTTACGTACTCCCCCCTCAGACTGATCATACAACACTTTCAACTGGACTTTCACTGCTATGTGTCTGACCAGATTAATATCAGGACCAAATCCATCAAAGGTCCACCTCTCTGACAGTCAGAATCTTGTTTATCTGAGATTTAACTCTGGATCAATAACATGATTCTCATGTTAAATAGTGACTGAACTCTCTTTTCATTGGCTCCAAATCAACTCTCAATAAAACTGGCTCTGTAACTCTCTCAGTTGATGATGTACTATCCTCCCCCTCCTCTCGGGTCATATCTGGGTGGCATCCTGGTCCTGACTCTCTCAGTCAATGCCTACGTCAGCTGTATCATTAAAACTTCTTTGTTTCATTTTCATAACATAGCCAAAATTTGACCGTTTGACCTCTCTATTCTTCTGTTGTACATGTTCTTTATACTTTCATCTTCAGTCATTTGGACTATTGTAATTCTCTCATCGGTCCTCAAGGGTCTAGGAGATTTAAGAAGAAGTCGTACATTCAAAAGAAGTCGTACATTATTTCTTTTGTTAATCAGACTTAAATTGCCATTTTTAAATGTAAACTAGTAAGAGATATAAGGAAAGAGGAAAAGTTGATTATGTTAGCCATTTACTGATTAGACACAATAAAATAACGTCATGAAAGAAGGAAAATGGCTCCAGGGCAGAGATAATGCCCCAAACCAAACCAGCCGTTACTTGTTGGTCTAGGGCAGGGCTCGGCAACATGAAGCTCTGGAGCTCCACAGCTGAATCAGATTTGTAGGTATAAATAAAATAATCCTCCTTTACAGTAAAATAAAGCTCTGCAGATCGTTCAACGCAGTTTAGCAATAAATGGTCTTAAACTCTGGAGTTAGTGTAGAACTGCTGATTCACCCTTTAACCCTGAAGATCAGCACAGACTGCTGGTCACCATAGCAACAAAGACAACAATCTCGTCTAGCTAGCAGCTAACGAAACGGCAAAGAGAGAGATTTAAGATGAACATCGATAATTTGGAGACAAATGGACTTATTTACATTTATAATCACTCCAGCTGGTTTTCTGATATGTTTAATCTGCAACCAGAAACTGACAAACACTAAAAAGCCACCAGCTTCTTGTTCGAATTCTCCTGTTCCACCTTAAAAGGTGCAGCAGTTACATTCTGGCAAATCAACCACATTTTAGGTGGAATGAGAAAAATGTAAATATAAAATGTCTCTCAGTGTTCGACCTTTCATAAGACTGATGTCAGTTTTATGAAAAATCAAACATTGCGAGACATTTTACAAGAAACTGTTCTACTTATGAGGAAAAGTTTCCTGCTGGAGATGTGAGAAAAGCAGGTATAGCTGAGCTAAAGCTTAAACCAGAGCAAAGTAAGTCTGTGTTTTGTTCATATTTAATATTTTAGTCTACACTACACCATTAGCACATACTGAGACATTTAAGCCAAGATGGTAAAAACGTTGATTCAATAAAATGGACATAAAATGTTGTGGCTCCCAAGGTGGATTGATTTTGTTGAAAGGACAAAGCTGTTTACATATATTTAGAAAAATGATAGAACTGTTACAGCCACCATTTTTACAATAAGCAGATGAAATGCCATCTCTCCAGGGGTTAATAAAGGCCAAAACAATACAAAAACCCAACGCTAACTCAACACCGAAACCTGACTTCCCTAATCACCAAACAGGAAAAAGAAAACTTCTCATACTCCCTAATTACCCCAACACCAGCAGAAAGACTCCACAAACAAAATGGCACTTAGCCCCTTCCAGCAGTGGTGACAAGTAAAAACACACTAAGGGTGCTTTCACACCTTGTTTGGTCCAGACCTTTGGACCATGGTCCAAGGCACCTTTCCAAGGTATGACAGGTGCTTCGGACCACGGTCTGGAACAAAGCACCAAAATTTGGTCCAACCAACAGGTCAAGATTCTCAAAACCTCCCAAACTAACGTGAATAAACAAACACGGCGGATGACAGCGAGGCTATCGCTGTGCTGGATGTGGATGAAGCCAACGCTGAAAATAAGGGGTCCACAGGGCTCGTACACACTGCAGCTCGAGCTTGAGGTGAATACATACATTTGTACATATATACATTCATACACACATGAGGTGAATACATAATCAGGCCTTGTGACAAGTTCAGCTCAGCTCAGCTCTCATTGGTTGACGGTCTTTAAGGCATGACATCAAGAAAACAAGCAAAATGTTTATAAATAGATTGAATATTTTGAAAATATTATTACAACAGTCTACTTAAGTAGTAAGAACTGCAGTGAAACTTCTACTACATCCAGCATTTATCAGCACAGGAACTGAAGATTGTGCGACTGCGACTTTTTTGGTCTAAAATACAGAAGCTCCAAAATCAGAAACGTGACCAATCACAAAGCAGTACAAATACTGCCTGCATCACAACACACTGACATTAAACACAAAAAATGGAACTAGTATCTAAATACGAATGGCTCAAATGTACGGAGTAAAAAGATTCCTTTCCTCACTTTAGTAGAAGCCAGCCGCTTCTTTATTTTTAATTTTTTGCATGTTTTGCCCACCACTTTTGGAGGTGGACCACCTCAGTGTAAAGGCACC